TTCCAGCTTTCATTTTTAAAGGCTCCCCGGTATTGCAGTTGTTCAGCTTTTGGCTCTCCCCATTTCGAGTGGTCAGTGAGAACTGGTCTATCCGCGCCCATTCTTCCCCGTATGGACGTACAAGCGCTGTTCAGCAAGGGGTTTTATATAGGACATTTCTGGCGGGTTTTCTGGTTCTTTTTCTGCTTTTCCGTATTATATACCATCTTTTCATCATTTGTCACTGGTATCCGAGCCGCACAACTCACCATTTCTCAACGCGGGGCGGGGCGTGCCTTCAGAAAAGATGTTGGATGCTGGCACTATAGCAGTTAGTGAAGCATGAGCTGGTTGTTTTAACTCTGGATAATTCCAAAATTCAGATGTGCTCCACTAGGGAAAGGGTCTCAGTTGTGGTTGCAGAAGGCCTAAACCAGATGGCAAGACTGTGCTATGTGCTCAAAAGCCGCGGGTAGATGGGAAACAAATGAATTGTCGCCGGTCTTCTCGGCCCAACCAAGTCTTACATCCCAGCGGGGCAGCCAACTCGGTATCATACGATTAGGGAAGATAAAGACACTGATCCGTACCTCGGCTGTTCCTGCAAGACTATATCGCGTTAGAAATGCTATTGATGATACTGATTCTGCATGGAATTAGATTGCGTGGCGCATCCCAAAAGGGGTTGATGAGCAGCAAGAGATTTATTTTATCTGAAAGTATGTAGTTTTGAGCATGCAGTCTTACTTCCGATTCTAAAGTGGACTGAACGATGTGCATGTAGTTGTAAAGTGAGGGGATGGAAACGATACACGTCATGGTAGCTACTGTGCTGAAAAGAGCTGAGTTTAATACTAAATACTTAATAATAATACTGAATACTTTTCACTGAAGAGAGAAAACGTACCTGACACATATGCCAAGGAATGAGATCTTTCGCAAAGTTTCAACTTCACACAGCTGGTAATCCTCATAACTTCGTATAAGTTGTCAACTCACAGTTTTGGTAAATCTACATAATTTGCCTGCTTAGTAGACAGATCCTGTCCATTGAATCAGATCTTTATAGCGTAGCTCTAAAGAGATCCACTCTAGCAACTTTCGGTTTTCCAGTTGTTCAAGGAATTACTCGCTTTGAGCTGGTGGTCATTCTACGTTTAGTGAATGTTGCTTCGATAATGATCTGCGTTCTCTTTCTCAAACTACTTGGTTTTTCTTTGTAACCGCTGCGTGGAGAAGGATTTATGGTGGTGGGACTAGGATCTTGAATGGAAGATATGGGTCCGCGTGAAGGGAGGTTAGGGAGTTTTGAGAGGAGATCGCAGATCTTTTGCGTTTTCGCTTTGCACTCGAGACCAGGTCAAAAGATTGTTGAGAGAGTTGCTATGGTGGTTACCTGATGGCTGATGCCGGGTGAAGTTCGTAGTAACATTATCGCCACTTAGGTACAGCACGCAGCGAGATCACTGTGTTCACTCTATCCGTCTGCGTCTTCTAAGATCTGGGCCTGCTAGAGAAAGGGATTACTGGGCGGACACATTCCCGATTTGAACAAAACCGGGTTAATGGTGGGGAAGGAGGGTCGCCCTAGTCACAGCCAACCTCCTCAACGCGCTACGGTATCTTCCTTTGTCTTGGAACCTTCTCTTTATCTTCGGTGCGGTAATACTGCTGTTTCTGGGTTCACTGTGGACAAAAATGATCTCGAAATCCGCGGCCCGCTGCTACCGTAACCCAGGAAGCTTTGGGCACGCGTGCGAAGCGCCATGCACTTTAAGGGGGGAGGGGCATGTGATGAAACATGTAGTACGCGGGTGGTGCTGGAGGCGGTACAACATGACAGGTTAGAGTAGCTCAAGCACGGGAAAGTAAAACATGCGCGCAGAATACGATATCTCAAAAGGCGAAATCATTCTATTCATGAGGGAAACTCGCTCAGACATTGTGGACAAAGTTTTTTATCAAGTTCGTGCTTGTTCCTGTTTCCTCTTTCCTTTAATGTTAAAACAAATAAGTTCCTAACGTTAAGCGGTCGTATGCGCCGTGAGCGCTGAAAGTCTTCTTCCATTGAGAGGTTTTCCTTTAGCTACTCATCAATGAGTCGTCATGAACGGGATCTGTACGCCCAAATAGCCAATGCAGTGGAGGCTATGCGAGGACGAGTGGACAAAGTGGGTCATTTGGATTGAGTCATCTTCTCTCATTTCAGTCGAAAACACGTATCATAGCGACTTTCCAGGTGGTATATCAGCGTCCCAGCCAGTTTCCTAATGCTGTCGCTAAGATCATGGAGAATGGCGCATTCCGTATTGTTTTTAGAGATCGTAAGTCCAACACTGGTTATTCTAAGCAAGTTTCAATGGGCTAAATTCTTTCAGAGCGTCGGTTAGTGCAAAAACCAGGCTCGAGAGAGGTACAGTTGCATTTTCCTGATGGTAGGAAGGAGGACGTGTCTGACTGTGAGTGAATGGTTCTCGCGCATATAATGTATTCGATACTCTTTTCTGAGCTATATATTTCAGCGGATATGCTAGATCGATTCAATGACGTCAGGAAGTTTTTGCAAAATGTCGAACGTGTCTGGGAGCGTCAAATCGGTCTCTTTCCATTGTCGTTCTGCATCTCCAGGTAAGTGCTTTAACCTGTTGACATGGCTTGCTATCTTTATTGATGGGAAGTCAAAAAGATTGAAGCAAATGAAAAAAAATAATTGCCCTCAATGTGCGTGTCGATAATTTGCTTATCGTCCTGCCAATTATTTAGAATTTTCACCTCCATCTTCTTCTTGCGCGCCTTCTAGAAAGCAATTTTTTTCCATTTGACGTGGCATAGTAAGGGTCAATCATGATCTAAACAGGGAGGAAGGGGTTAGGTCGTGGTTGATACATTTCATTTCTGCTAGAACAGTTCTTGATCGCCCAAATGTAGTTTCTTTTTCGGATTTTTTGATGATTTCTATGATACCCAATAATTGTTCCTTTTCAGAGAATCAGCAACTTCTCCACGTGCTGCTCGTTCAGAAGTTCGCGTTCCGCTTGCCACTATGAATTCTCAAGCCCAGGTAATCAATATTTACATTGGGGAGGGAAGTACTTGTTTCTGATTCTACAGTGATATGTTTGATTTTTAATACCATTTCAGTCGTTATTGACGCAACGGTCAGCACCCGCGACCGTAGGGCCGTATGGGAAGGCTTCGTTGGAGTCCTCCAAAGGATTGCATGGAGGAATGAGATACAAGATTGTAAGTTTTCCTTTGGTCCAATCTGAGTTGGCTTTACTATAGGAATGGAGCAATACCATGTAAATAATCTCCATTGATCTCCCATCTCAAACCTCGATATAGATGTCTTACAATCGATTTAGTTCTGCCAGGTGCGGGTGTTGTTAGGTGGAACCTCTTCATTATATTTGGCCGACATTAATCGTCTTCTTTAGAGACCTGAGATTGACATTCGCAGCTCGGACAAGTTACAGCTGATGCCTTCGCAGGTCATCGGAAAGAGTAAAGGGACGTGCCCATCCATGGCGTTACCACTGCTGAATGTTTTCTTCCTAAATCGATCACTAACCGATTACCATTGGAAGAGCGAGGCAGCCGAAGGCGGGCCATTCCGTCGCTCCACCCTGAGTTACTGCGACGTCATCAGCTATGAAATCTCCAAGCCTATTCCAGGCCTTCGAAAACCGAGAAGGTTGGAACAGCTTGCCGAAAAAGTTTCCATCTAACGACATCGTTTGGCAGAAATGATGAGAATACGACAATTCCTCATCGTCACAGCCCGTAGACCTTTGTGTTAATTTACCGAAATAGTCATAGTGCACGACCTGCCGTTGCGGTTTTTTTTTGCGAAATAAATCCCCTCAAAATTTCCCCCCCATGGTAGGTTCTCCTACATGTATGCTGTAAGCCCGGAATGCTTAAAGAGTTCATGAAAAGAAAAATCCAGCGCTCAAGAACATTTTTTCGAACTCAAATGCTACATTTTTTCCTCCAGCGACCAGGTATAACCCCTCGCTGGGAATCCCCAACGTTCTGCGTGCTGTGAGCAGTTGCCAAGATTTATGTATGTCTGTAGTGTGATCTTTCCAGAATAAGAACAATGAAGTGTGCAGTGTTGAATCCCCTGATGGTCGGTATCTACGTGTGTCAAGTGTTTCAAAGTCCAGGTTTATCTATCGATCAGAGCCGGGGTCATCTGACCAAAGGTAAGTGATAATTGTGAAAGTTACGGGCAGAGCAGGTCCCACCGTTGGAGAAAACTTGCAAAATACGACTCTTTATAATTCCTCCTCTGTTGCACCCCCTCTTCAGATCCTTCTCACCATCTTCCCAAATCTCCCTAACTCCCTGAGTTTCAGAGTTTCCATAGTTTCTTCTCGAAAGTCTCCTCACTTCTCGAAAAAAATTGCCGCTGAGGGACTTTAAATAAGAAAAATCAAAAAAAAGTCAACCGACGAAATCATTTTTTTTGTCAAAAGAAACACGCCCCCTCTCCCTTCAGCCGCTAAATACGACTCCCCCTCCATCCCTCGCAACAGTTCCCCTAACGTACGACGTGTCCTGCTTAGTGATGTTGCAGCTCTGTAGGTCTTGTGTTCATTCGTTTAGCATTTCATAGATGAGTTAACTTTACTTCAGGTTCCACGTTAGTGATGATGTTTACCCTAAAGGAGCGCGTGAACTTTACGATTGCCTTCAACTGGAAATCAAACGTCGAGAAGCTCTTCTGTAAGGGCGGAACGGAATACTTGGGTTGGATCCGTGAATGATTTCCTTTAATTAGCTTTCTGTAAGCTCCTCCATTTGTTCAAAGGTGTCTATATCATCGACGGGTTCGTTAAATATTGTTCATTTGAGCGTAACTTACTCATCTTCATCGCTGAGGATATTCTGTCTTTTTGCTTTCATCTTTTTGAATTTCACCATGGTAACTCTTATTCGCACATGGCATTGTTGTTCATCAAATTCTTGCTGAGCGTTATTCTGTAATTCTAGGAATTTTTTGTTTCTTTCATACATGCGCCTATGTGATCTTAATAATTTTGCTTTTGTATGCTTCTCTTTCTTCGTAACACTGCCGATATGCTATTGTTCTGTTGTTCTCATTCCATTGTTGAGAGTACTCTGATGGCACGGAGTATAATCCAAGTTATATTGTTTGTATTATTTTGCTTTTGTCTTGCTAATGAAGAACTAGCATATTCTGGTTTTCTGGTGTACTCTAGGTTCCAGTCCTATGTCGTATTTTGATAAGCGCTCTAGATCGAGATTTTCCGCTCGTTTAATTTATTGATGACACAGTCCGCGATTACCTGCAGAAGCCCCCCCCCCCCTCTCCCGTACAGAAGGTGGTGCAGTCCTCAGATGTCGACACTGTCCTACTTCCGCGACCCGAGAGGTCCTCATAAGAACGCCAGGGCTTTGTCAAGAAGTTTATGCAGTCTCCGCCCCCCCCCCGCCAACGATTTTCACCCACCTCCTTTGATGCAACGGCCCCGCTTTCGCGACCCAATACTGCCTTGACTGGAATGCCAGGGCCCTGTCATAATATAAAGTTTTCTCCTCCCCCCCCCGGGGCTTGCCCTCCACCTATGACGTTTCGATTGCCATTCCTGTAAGTGGAGGGAGTCTCAACCTTCGAGTCCTCTCTCCCCATTTTATCCGCCGTCTGTTCCTTTTCTTATTGGACAGGCGCTTCGCCTGACATGCGTTGATATTCTTGGTGACATAGCAAGGGACATGTGGAAAAGGGGACTCGCCCCTCTCGTTGTCCATTTGGCAGGGAAATTATGCTGAACCTACAGGGTGATTCAACCAAAAAGTCACTTTTCATTCACTTGACTTTCGAGGAGCGCTATAAATTTAAAAAGGAATAAAGGCATGAAGTCTTCCGCCGTACGATTCGAATCCCTTTGTGCGGATGCGGCACAGCATTCTACTTCCATTCAGATCGTTACGTGGCCATATTTGAATCGCGTTCTGTCTTCCATCCCAGGTACGTCCGGTCCATACCATCAACCCGCGCCTTGACGACTGTGGTGAAGATGATGTCCTAGACCGTGGCGACGTTGTCGGAGCTGCTCGATGTTGGAGGTCTTAGTAGATCTTCCAGATCGAGAGTACTAAGTCTCCAAAGAATAAGAATAATCCATGAGAAGTGACTCCATACTAGAAGTTTCGCAGGTCTGTTTATTGGAGGTGGTAAACGTGAATTCCAAAGCGTACTTCTCGAAGGCTAGCGACTGCGAGATGACTTCATCATTTGTTTGCGCTGCTACAATGGAAGGTGATTGCAGGCGGAAGAGCCACGCTCCTGCTCATGTACGGAGGAACATCTTGGGTATCTTCCGCCCTGGTACTCGTATCCACGTCCTCTGTCTGGGCAGCGAAAACTTTGCTGATGTGACTCGGTCAAAGTGACTTTTTTTGGCCCCCCGTATATAGGTGGTGCAACGGGGAAGGATGATGATGTTCAGTACCGTGCTAGTCCCCATATATCATTTGAAGTTCATACTTTCCGGCAGCGTTTTAAGCGTCTGACACCGTTTCGAATGTTTTGAGCCGCTCAGAAAATATAGATATCGATCGAGCCTTCTGAGTATTAACCACGTTTTCAGTGATAATCCACACCTGTACTTTCTGGTAGCTCAAAATGCTCAGGACTTGGACGCTCAGCTTAGTATGCTACGGACGCTAAGAGCTCTGGAGCAGTACCTATAATTTTCTAGTCGCTGAAGTTGCTGACGAGCGCTCAAAAACGCTTATGGACGCTCTAATGCAATTCACGCTCAAAATGCTGCTGGGCCCTCAAATCGCTGCCTTATACTATGAACGCACTGTGGGCCTTAAACTCAACACGTTGACGACGATGGCAGACAATGGTGGCTGACAGCCAGTCTGTCTCGTGGGACGATGGCAGACAATGGTGTCTGCCACTATATTGTTCTAATAATAAAGATGTACGAACAGCCAAGTTTGCTGGAAACGTATCCCTAGGGGTAGCTTGTCCCTCTGAAACGAATACCACAGTCGCTTGGCACGAACTGCCTGGCGCCCGCGCCACAGGCGCCGGCGCCAAAATACCATAAATCACCAAATTCGCTGAAAACTTGTCTCCTGGGGCAGCTTGACCCCGTGAACACGAATATCACAATCGTTTGCCACGAAACCTGCCTGGCGCCCGCGCCACAGGCGCCGGCGCCAAAATGTCCTAGATCATCAAATTCCCTGAAAACTTGTCCCTACCGGTAGTTCGACCCCCTGAACAAGAATATCATGTCCACTTAACGCGTTGACGACGATTTCCGTCAATGGTGGACGACAGC